TTTCCCCCATCCCAACCCTTCCCCCATCCCGACCCTCCCGCCCATCCAGACCTTGCCGCGGAGTCCTGCCCATCCCGACCCTGCCGCGGAGTCCCCGCCGTCCCGACCCTGCCGCGGAGACGCCCATCCCGAGCTTTCCCCCATCCCAACCCTTTCCCCATCCCGACCCTCCCGCCCATCCTGACCCTATCCCACCATCCCGACCCTCCCGCCATCCTCCACCCCATGCCTCCTGCCCGCCCCGCTCAAAAGAAGAAGAAGAAGAAGAAGAAGAAGAAGAAGAAGAAGAAGAGGGACGGAAGACGATGAAGAAGAGACCGTATACAGATGGAAGAAGAAGAGGCAGAATACGAAGGGAGGAGGAAGAAAAAAGAAGAAGAACGAGGGTGGAGGAAGAAGAAGAAGAGGGGAGGAGGAGGAAGAAGAAGAAGAAGAAGAAGAAGAAGGGTGGAGGAAGAAGAAGAAGAAGAGGGGAGGAGGAGGAAGACGAAGAAGAAGAAGAAGGGTGGAGGAAGAAGAAGAAGAAGAGGGGAGGAGGAGGAAGAAGAAGAAGAAGAAGAAGGGTGGAGGAAGAAGAAGAAGAAGAGGGGAGGAAGAAGAAGAAGAAGACGAAGAAGAAGGGAGGAAGAAGAAGAAGAAGAAGAAGAAGAAGAAGAAAAAAAAGAAGGGAGGAGGAGAAGAGGAGGAAGAGGGACGGAAGACGAAGAGATGAGGAAGAAGTAGAGGGGAGGAAGAAGAAGAGGGCAGTAACAGTGATGACGAGGAGGAGGGGGAAGAAAAGAAAACTAAGGAAGAGGAGGAAAACGGGGGGTTAGGGGGGTTGGGGGCCGGGGGTGGGGTACCAACCTTAGCGATGGCTGCTTCGACGGACGGCAGCTCCAGTGGTACGACCTCGAGTAGGCGATGGCACAGCAACCCCAGCGGCCGAGGACGACGAGCAGCAGCGGGCGGCAACTCCAGCGGGCGGCAACTCCAGCGGGCGGTAACTCCAGCGGGCAGGCGTTGCAACGAACGGGCGGGCGTCGATTTCGAATTTGAAACGCCCGCTGTGCGAGGTGGCCCCGCACGCCTCTGTCCCGGCCGTCGATCCACAGATCGACGGTGCAGATCTCTCGTTTTCGGAAAAAAAAAACACGAGGGCCTGCGGGCCCTCGTTTTTTTTTTTTTCGGGCGAGGGAGGTCCTCCAGGGGCGGGGGAACACACACAGGCGTTCAGCACTCCGAACCCCCCCACTCCCTATTTTGTGCGAGGGAGGCCCGGTACCAGCCCGGTCAACCTGCACGGTCGGG